TTTTAATTTGCATTTTCAGGGGCCTAATGGTATTCAGTACCTTTCATGTACTTATTTTCTATTTGTGAATCTTCTTTGGCAAAATGTCTGTTTATACCTTTTGCTTGTTCTCTAACTTAATTATTTTTACTGTTGAGTTTTGAGAGTTTTTACATATTCTAGATACATATCTGTCAGATACATGGTTTACAAATATTTTTCTCCTAGTATGTAGCTTGTTTTTTCATATTTACATGTTCTTTCACAAAGCACAAGTTTTTAATCTTAACAAAATAAAACTTACCATATTTTTTCTTTTTGCATTGTGCTTTTGGTGTCAAGTCTAAGAACTACCCTAGATTCTGAATATTTTCTCCTATGTACTCTTCTCAAAGTTTTATGTATTGCTGATATCAACTGGCAAATATTTTCTTAAGGGTTTTTGTGTCTATATTCATGAGGGATGTTTACTTGTAGTTTTCTTGTTTTGTAATGTCTTTTTTTGGTGTTGGTATGAGGATAATACTGGACTCCTAAAATGAAGGGAAGTGTTCCATTCTCAACCCTATTCTGGAAACTATCCTAAGAAGATGATGCTAAGGCTTTAAAGGTTTCAAGGAATTCTTCAATGAAAATATCTAGACATGGGTATTTCTTTCTCAGAGCTTTTAAATTACTAATTTGACTTCTTTACTGGTTATAGAACTATTCATATTATCCATTTCATTTTTCCTGTGTTTAAGTTTGTAGTTTCAGGAGAACTGGTCCATTTCATCCAAGTCGGTATACTAATGAGTGTAAAGTTGTTTGTGGTATTCAGTAATTACCTTTTAATGATTGCCTGATTTATAGTTATCACCTATTTCATTATTGATACTGGTTATTTGTGTCACCACTTCATTGTTGCTAGAGGTTTATCAATTTTATTTATTCAGAACTAGCTTTTACCTTCACTGCTTTACTATCTTGTCTTCCTAATTTCAATTTCACTGACTGCTGCCTTTTATTATTTCTTTTCTTCTGCTTGTACTAGTTTAATTTTATTCTTCTTCCTCTTTTCCTGAGGTAGGAATTTCGATGATTGATTTGAGACCTTTCCTTCTTTCTAATTAAGTTTTCAGTACTATTAAATTCCCTCTCTGCTATATACTTGAAGCCAATGTAAGATTGTGTATCATCTATACTTCAATTAAAATAATTCCCTCTCAGCACTGCATAGGTGCATTCCACATATTTTGATGCTGGGTTTTATTTTTCATGCAGCTACGTGGATTTTGTCTCCTTGAGACTCTCTCCTTGCACCGTAAAGTCCATTGCTCACTTCCCACATTGAGTGCTTCTATCGTCTCTCCGCCATGGGGCTCTGAATTCTAATGTGACTCCACCGTGGGGAAAGGACACACTGCATGATCTCAAATTCTTTTTGTTTGTTTCATAGATACGGTCTATCCTGGTGAGTGTTCTATGGACACCCGACACAAAGGAGTGTGTTTGGGGGTCTGTCAGGTATAGCCCGCTGGCTGGCCCAGCGAAGACTTGCATCGTTGCTGCCTCCGCCAGCACTTCTGCCCGACACTGACAGTGGGGTTAGCATGCCGTCCTGTAACTGCGTATGTCTAGTTCTTTCTTGCTGTCACTGGATTTAAATTTCTTGTACATGGTATATGGCTGGGTCTCATTTCCTTAACCACTCTCCCTGTTCTTGATTGGTGCTTAGACAGCTTATAGTAAAGATAATTATTGATGCAGTAGAGTATAAGTCTGCACTGTTACCTGAACCCTTTTTAGGGTTCTTAGTTTATTGACAGCATCTTAGAGTGTATCCCTTTGCATATTTTTTTGTAGTGTTTGTTCTGGGTATTTTAATATACATTGTAATACTTAATAAGTTGCTTAAGCTACTTATTAAATCACATTCTCTCAGAAAAATAGAATGAAGAAACTGTCTTTCAATCCAGCTGTTAAAAAAAAGCTAGTTCTGGTCAAGCAGTGAAGGGGGACACACAGCACTGCTAACTTTAATCCTGTTCTGTTTCTATCCCAAGGAGCCTTTTTAAACACCTGGACTTCAGAGACTGGTGATATGACCTATAAAATGTAACGTTCAACTTCTAAAAGTCTCTTGTTCTAAACAGCTACCCTACTTGATATGTCCTGTAAGTAAAAATATTTAAATTGACATGTTTGTCTAAAAATTTAGATACTTAGGTTTCCCTGCTAAGCCAGGAGATAATCTTTGGAATTTCTTTTGCCCACGTGCATAAAGGTATAAACTAAGCCCGACTGAGAGACGGCAGCCTCCCTACCAATCTACAAGCACATGTCTAAGAGATGCTTCTGCTAAGCTCAGTTTGAAGCTGGGGAACCAGGAGCTTACACCCAGATGCACGTAACGCTGAAGCCACAGGATCCTCTCCCCCACACCTGGCCACTGCTCTACCAGCATCTATAGCACTGCCCAAACTTGATCAGCCCGTTTCTTTTCATTATCCATACAAAGAATATCAATAGGATAACTTTAATTCCATATTAAGATACAGAATTAGGAGCACTATGCTACAACATAAGACTCACTATGGAAATATCCAAGCATTAATTTCTAGACATGGTTACTATATTAACCAGAAATAACTTTTCCGGTTAGTAATAAGTGTTGTCAGAATTCCTAAATAAAAAAGTAAAAAAGACAAAGCCATTTGCAACCAAGTCTTTTCCATTTTCTTATGACGCTATGTCAAACTGCAAGACAAATCTTTTATCAGTACAAAAAAATAAAAATTGGTTTGACATCATGCATCTCCTACTAATGAACATATCATTTCACAGTAACTACTGGAAATTATACCTCAAATTTCTGAATATTCAGGTTTTTTAGGTAAATAAAACATGTGGAAAACTTTAATATGAAAATGGATATAAAGTTGGAATATAAAAAACTAAGGAAGGGGATACCACCCTTATTTTTTAGAGTGCCTAAATGTTAGTGAAAATATTTTGCAATTCCTTCCTCCAGGTCTGCTACCACACCTGTGAATTTCAGGGTAAGGAAGGTGCCACTCCTGTGCTCACACACAATACCAATCTAATTCTGGAGTGCCACCCCCAGAGCGCTACCCACTGGAACAATGAGAAACATGGACGAGCCACCACCGTGCTCTAGTGAAACCTTTCTGGGGATTCTGCAGGGCCTGGCACATCAGCCTCCTCGCTGACTAAGAACACACCTGTGAGGCCAGGGAGAGGTGGCACGGGGACCCAGACACAGCTGTAGATTGCTGTCTTTCACATCTGCCCAGGTGACTGAAAAGGGAACTATGTGAAACACGGCCAAGGGAGGGCTCAAGAGCTACTCAGGAAAAATGGGAAGATGAAAAGAAAGCAAGAAGAGGAGTGCTCCACCTCTACAAACTAACAGCGAAGGTAAGAAAAGAACTGTCCTAGAGAAAAGAAGGTAATATACAGAAAAGCACGACACAGCCAGACGGCACTCGTTCTATTCAGATCGACCCAACCTTCAAACCTCGCAGCAGACACACCAACAGCCTCTTCAAAGGAAAAGAGAAGGTTGTGGGGGTCACTCCTGAGACAGGTCTCAAGACTGCAAGTCAACGTTGCTGCACTCCCACTTTCTTGAGCCTTCTCTCCAGCAAGCCAGTGTGAACTGCCCCGGGGAGCAGCCCACGTGGCCAAGAGGGAGGGAGGCCTCAGGCCAAAAGCTCCTGGAACTGAGGCCCAGAAGCCAGTGAGGCACCAGGTCCTCCCAACAGCCCCCAGCAAGCGTGACCTTGGCTCCAGCCCAGTGGTGCCTGGAGGTGCCGCCACCCCGCGGACAGTGGCCTTGAGGGGACTAGAGCCAGGACTCTGACCACAGAAACCATGAGGTGATAAATGCTGGTGTTTCAAAAAAACTTGCATCGACATTTATGTGACTAACATATGTCTCAGTCGTCTCCCTCATCAGCATTTATCCTACAGAAACGGGCAAAGGTACATATATAAAGATGTTCACGTGGCATTACACAATAGCAGAAAATAGAAACTACTTAAATCTTACAGTGGATCAAAAGTTAGTAACTTACAGAATCCTTACAACGAAATACTATGTAAATGAGTTGGAAAACAATGCTTAATTTATCCCATTTCATAAAATCAAACAAATATAAGCCAAAACAATTTCTTTGCACATGTTAATTCGACAAGATGCAGACCACTTTGGTCTCGAGGAGAGACTTCCTTGCACTGAATCTCTCTACAGAGTGGTTCAGGCTGGGCATGCAGTCACGTGCCCCGGATGCCAGCTGGCACTACGAACTCAAACTATTCTATAAGAAGCCTTATTAAAACTAAAACTTGCCATTCAATATTTTTCAAGTTGTTCTGGAGCTTTAAAAAAAAAAAAAGACTGTCCATTGAGTTGCTGTTGTTCAGAAAGTCTGTGCCTTCAGAGGCACTCCTGCCCACACATGGACAGCCCACTCAGCCATACTCCAGGCCATCAGCAGCCTGAAGGTCTCCCCCTCTGACCATGATCAGTTTTTTAAATGGCTTCTTCCTACATTGACCTAAACTTTTTCCTTCCCCTCTTTTATCTCCACTGACCTTTCCTTCTTTAAGTTTCTAAACCGTAAGAATAACCAAAAATAATGTATAATGTATAATGTATAATGTATAATGTATCCTTTTAAAAGGAAGGTCTAGAAACTGAAACATATCCCAGTCTAAACAGGCTAACTAATACAAGTTCTTTGGTCAAATGAAATAACTTGACAATTCAGCATTCAGCAGTTAACACATCTTATTTTAGACAAAATAGGACTTCACCTATACACAGTGAAATACTTTAGGAAAATACACACTACTAAAATCTAGATTTTTATTCATGTACATCAAATCTTACACAACGATGTTAAGATTTAAAATAAATGTCAAACAATTTCCTTCAAATTCAGAAGTTACTGCAATTAGACTAAATGTTAATAACTGGCATACACATGTCTAAAACGTATTAAAAATGCATCGACCTTTTCCACTATGATGAGGTCTCCAACTTGTATGTCTGAACTCTTAACTTGCACTTTACCTTAAAAAAAAAGAAAAAGTACAGTTAACTTAAAGAAATAACAGCACACCACAGTTCACTTTCTATTGGCAAACAAAGCTTTAGAAATAACTTTTGAGAGAAAAGAGCACTTTAGAAATTTATCTGTACTTGTACTTTCAAATTAAACTTATTTCAGATAGACACAGTTGCTGAAAACGAATTTCTCTTAGCTCCCAAATACAAAATTACCTATCCCCCAATAAAAAACATGCACAAAAGGGAGGTTCTTCCCAAATCTGTCAGTATTTCAGGTCTAGTCAAGTTACCACTGATCAGGAATATCACTGAACAAAAGCGGAATAACACGGACAGGTAAAATCCTGAATGTTATGAATGGCATTGATTAGCAAGTAACTGACAGAAAAAAGAAATAAAGAAAATTACATATAAAATCACTCTCTACTAGTAGCTTCACAGACACAGGTTGGGACTGAAAACTAAGGTCTTAAGCTTTATTACAAAAGAGATTCTTCCATATGATAAACTGTGTAAATTCTTAAATTATACATATAGTATCTAACGTACAATAATCGTCTACAATGTAATATTTAATACTACCTAACACAATGTTAAACAATACAGAGTAGGTAAAATGTCAGAAATAATGTGAGCAACTGCCCCAGGACGGGGCAAACACTGAGGCAGGGGCGCTCCCCCTCCCTCTCTGCTTTCTCCCTCCCTCGGTCAATCCCCCTTGTCGGGGTAGCGGCAGCCCTGTGCGCCTATTTCTATATTTTTGTAACCACTGTCTCAGCACAGAACAGGTCCCTGTCTTCCATTCGGCCTATTCTGAAAGTGAACAGGAGGCTAAGCTCCTATCACACCAGCAAAAGCTGACATCACCAGCCATGCCACTGACTTGTAGTCCACGCTCAGCTTATAAAATCTTACTTCCTAAATACCTGTTGAAGCAGCTGGGTTCCAGTGGTACCACACCAGTTCCTGAAGATGTGTTTTGAGAATATCAAAGTTTTGTAAATATTATGCTCTATTTTTGCTGTTATATTTTTCCATGTTCCTCAATTACACAATAAACAAGGGCAAGACCTACTTATTTGGGGTCTGGGAGGAGAGTTACTTAATTTATATTATAAAATAGCAATGTTCTTTACAATTATGTGTGAAATAAAACTAAAGATATCTTCATAACTGAAAAGTATGTCTATTAATAGCCAGACAATATATTCACAAACAATGTCTATTTTAACTATTTTTTCATGGGGTCACTTCAGGCTTCAAGTCTATACTCCCACTACTACACCTATAAAGCTAAGCACCAGGCAGTAAGGATATCTCACTGAATTCTGCATCACAAAACTCCTGTCTTATCATTTAATTTTATTTTCTCTCCCACTATCCAATCCACTTTTCCTTCCTTCTACTTTTCTATATTCTATGTAATAAGCATAATTAAAAAGGAGAGAAAGAAATAGCTATCATCATGTGATAAATGTCATAAAAATTTTTAAAGTATTTTGAAACATTCAAAACATATTCTTTTTTGACTCCTTAATCAAGATCTTAAATTTCTGAGGGAGAGTTATTTATTCTGTCACATAAGAAACACAATTTATGTTTAATAGCCTCTAATTTGGACACATTATATTGTGATCACTATTCATTTATACTGAACTTGCAATTACATGTTTAAAGAAAAACAGTTTGTGGTAAAATGCAGTATAGAAAATTCTCAAATGTTAATGATACAATATGAACAACATATGAGAAGGCTAAACACAGTTGAGTGTCAAATCAGTTATGATAATCTGCCTCAGAACCTGCTCAGAGCGCACATTTCCAGATTTTGAAGGACTGGTCAAGTCGTTTAATAGCTCTTGATTCTCTAATGATTTCAGTCTTGTCTTCAGGGCACTGATTGCTTATACTTCCTTTACAGCCTGTGTCCCGTGAAATCCCGGGTTTCTTGCTCTTACGTTTCCTAAAGAACAGCTAGGACACTGGAAAGGAAACACGGAGGAAAACCACCTGCTCCCACACACCTGTCCGCCAGCAACAGCCGGGCACATGACCGTCAGCGGTCTCATCTGAGCAGCCCGTGCCCACCAACACTGGAGGTGTGGTTTCAGCCGCCCTTTGCTAACTGAGCTGAGCTGATCCGACTAACATACTAATATCACCATAGTTGGGAAAGACAAGTAACAACAGAAAATCCCTACATTTTACAAGTCACAGCACATACAAACACCGATGCCACCTGCTCTCACAAACCAACAGAGACATCAACAATGCAAAGCACTTACAAAATGCGATTTAATATTTGGTAACTTCAGAGTTACACCTGACAGAATCAAGTTCTAAATACAGTAACAAAGTTACTTCAATGATAAGGCAACTAAAACCTAACCGTTTTTCTTACAAAGATCCTATTCAGTTTGTGGTTGAGCACCCCCTCAACATGACTGGCTTCTTCCTTTCTGAGGAAATAGTTAATAATGAACATTATCTATTCACCACTGTCACAATCCTTCCCTCTCTCTAAACTGTTACAATTAAGTCTTTCCATTAAATCCTCTTCCAGCAATCAATGTCCCCTGCCTCTGTACTTCCAAGTGTTAAGAGCTTAGGTATTTCTCACAGAAGCAAAGTGTTCATATCACCTGTTCCATAGGCCAAGTTTTATGGGTTCCTCTGAAGAAAGATAAAGGAACTCAAGAATTACTTATCTTTCTCCAAAGCTTCTTAAATATACACCCTGCCCACCAAACCCATGGCTACTCCATATTTTTTACCTGTGTAAAGAGAATATACTATTAAATGGCCTCTGTTACTATCATTTCCCTAATTCAATAGGAATTCCAAATGAACTAGGTAAAAAAAAAACCTAAGAATTATGTTTATCCCCTCCCAAAAACTTCCACTATTTGACAATTACTAAGAAGATAATTCAGATCTATATCATTGCGTGCATATTCTTCACAACTGATCTCCAATTCGCTTCACCTACTGCCTGTATCTCCCTGTCTTGGCTCTCTGATGCCGGCTGCTGACCCTGCGACCACATGACGCCTCTGCCTTTCTTCTAAGTTCTCTGCATCCCCTCCTCCCAAACCTCCTTTATTATACTGCGAATAGAACCTCGTGAAGCCTTTACAGACCTGTGTAAGCACCAGCAGCATTTTATACACACGTCTCTATAATGTGCTTAAAATGCTATGAATATTCAAACATCTTGAGCGTCCACTAAATTCAGATCCTTTGGTTTAAATTTTGAAATATACTTTTATGACATTTAGTTTGCTCTTCACAAATGCATTATAAAATCTTAAGCCATTTGAAAAAACAATAGTTTATAATCCCTGGATTCCTGATCAGTTAAAATAGGTCAAATGTCATATGGACCAACAGGAACATAACCATAACCTATACCTACCAGATGTCATTCAAACGGCTGAGATGCAGTGGTCACTTATTTCCTGACCAAACACACAGAAGGCGATACGAGTGGGAGATTATTATGCAACCTTTTTAAAAAGGAACTGATCACTTTTGGGCACTCTAGGTCAGCGCCACACATCAGCAGGTTACGGGGCCTTTGTGGTTCGGGGGGAGTGGCACCCTCCCCAACTCTTGATGCTTTAGGTGGGTGTGGAGGTAGGAGCCTAATTCAACACAGATAAAGAAGCAGAGTGGGTTGTTGGCATATAAGTAAATAATACATTTACCCACACATATAAATAAACACTATTTAAAAAGAGACCTATACTCTGAAAAAAAACAAATATTGGTGAGAGAAATTTTGAAAGACCTAAATGAAGGGAGAGCTACACCTCACTCATGGGTCAGAAAACTTGATATAATTAAGATGTCACTCTAAATTATTAGAGTCAGTGCAATCCCAATCAAAATCCTGGCAGGCTATTTTATAGAAACGGACAGGTGGATTCTGACGTCATCTGGAAACACTAAGGGCCGACACTGCTCAACAGCTGTGAAAATGGTCGAGCTGGAAGGAGAGCCCGAGCTGACTTCAAGAATCACCGGGAAGCAGCAGGACTCGGAAGGGCATGGCAGGCACATCGAGGCAGGCGTGCGGACAGGAAGGCAGAATCCAGAAACCAGCCCGCGGTGAACGGCAGCCGATTTCTGACAGAGGCGTAAAGCAAGGAATGCAGCAGGAAAGGGTCATTTTTTCAAAACATGGCACTAGGAACACCTGGTGTCCACATGCAAGGGCCGGATGTGCACCCACACCTGTACTGATGCAGACACTCAAAATGGATCCGCACGATGCAGCAAAGCCCAAACTCAAAAACTTCTACAAGAAGAAACACAAGGGAAACAGCAGAAAATCTTTGTGAACTTGAGTTAGGCAAAGAGTTCTTGGGACACCAAAAGCACAATTGCAAAAGAAAAATGGATAAGCTAGAATTCTTCAACAAGAGCACCCAAGGTGCACAGAGCCGCACAGGCAGGTCAGTGAGCGGGCGGCTGTGTAAAGGCAGGATGGTCCTCCTCCGGCCAAATGGCCCCAAGGCTGAGGGAGAAGAAGCCTCTGCAAGGGGGCTGCAGGGGGCAGGCCACAGAGAGGGGCCGTGTCTCAGTGGGCGCAAGAAGCACATTGTGGGGGTCTTCGGAGGTGACGGATGCTAAGTCCCAGAGGCACAGTGAGAGGGACAAGGGTGCACCCCGGGGGCTACAAGGACTCACGGCGAGTGAGTGCAGAAAATGCGGTGTCTAAGTCTGAGCCTTCCCGGGTACGTGACTGAACCACGAAGAGGGTCATGTGAGGCTAGGCCGAGACCGTGCTCAGGCTGAGAGATGGGGAGGCCGGGGGTCCGGACTCCATCTCGACCCCTGCTGAAGGCTAGCAGGGACACAGGCCTCCCCTTGGCCTCCGCTGACAAAGCTGAGGACATCAGAAGTCAGGGTTTATTCACAGCATGGGGGCCCCTTCCCAATCCGTGCTGGGAATAAAGGTACAAATTAGATGGAAAGCCGAGGGAAATAAAATACATCAA